TTTAGTAACGAGCTATATTTTATTTAATTTATAANATTTGTGAGTTATGGACTGTGTATAAAAGATTTTTCTTTCTAATGTAATATCTACATTACTGATTTTATCATAATTCCAGGTACATTAGTGGATTATTTGATGATTTTTACGTAAAAAAGTACTCTTAGTAAAACGTGCTAACAACAATCGTGATTTCGTATCAACATATTAAATCGTTGCCTTTATTACTTAGTTAGTAAAGACACAAAGCTTCTTACAGTATTGGAAAAAAGTAGAACACCTTTTTTATTTTTCTTTTTTAAATTTTAAATTTATGTTTTTCCTCAGATTTTACATTAATTTGACAAAGATAGCTTTATTTTTATAGAAATTAAACAGAATTGCATTAGTTGAGTTGGAAAAAAGTAGAACAACTTAACAATTTATAGGTAAATAACAATTAAATTGAAGATTTTTAAGATTTTTTAGTACTTAATACAATCTCCATTATTATTAATGACAACATTTTTATAAATTTTTGTTTTTTTAAACATCCCCAAACCATCACAGAACCACCTCCATGTTTTAATGTTCGCTGCATGTATTTAGAAGTCAGCCTTTTTCATATTGGACACCTCACATATTGCACTCCATCATTTTTAAATAAGTTAAACTTGGATTCGTCACTAAACAATACCTTTTTCCATTCGTTGTATGTCCACTCTTGATGGGTGCATGCAAACAGCAGTCTTGCGGCTTTTCTTTTTTTTTTTATAGAAGTGGTTATTTCGCTGGTCTTCGGGCAAATAGTTTATTTTCAATTAATCTATTGCGTATTGTACGTGTTGATACTTCCAAATTGTGTGTTTCTTGTAACTCAGCCTTAATTTTGGCTGAAGAATAAAATGGATATTTTTTAGCTGTTCTTACAATTATTCCATTAAGACATCCATTGGTTTTTCTGGGACGTCCAGACTTTTTCTTCCAAGTCCCGTCTCACGATATTGTTTAATAATTCGAGATACTACACATTTGTGTAAAGAGAATTTGCGAGCGATATCACATGGGTTTTAAAATCATTAATAACCATTGCGTTCACAGGTTTTCAAACAGCTACAGGACGAGGCATGGTCCTATCGAATGTATCTTATCAGAAACTCGTTCTTATTTGCCATATGTTTATACATATTTCCTAGCAAAGTTGTTTTACTTTAAAATAAGGCTACCTTTGTGAGATCTTCACTACATAAATGCTATACATATAATATACATTACCATAATAATGTAAACCGTAAGGAAAAGCATTAATTTAAAAAATTAAAAGTTGCTCTACTTTTTTCCAATACTGTACATTTACCCTCCAACTGTCAAGGTCACTTGCGGGCGAGGCGCTACATTTGATATATCATCATGAAATCGTTAGATTCGGGGGATTCTAGCACCTCGCCCACAAACGACCTTGGCGGTTTAATGATAAATGTCTCCTTATAGGAGAATTTGTATCTTTACGAAGATGTCTAAGGAATGATTTCGTCCTAAATCGGCGAGGCGCTAGAATCTTTTAAACCTGACGATTTTATGTTGATATACAAAATGACCTTGAACGCTTTAAATTGGAATGCACAAAAGGCGGGAATTTTAAAATTGTCCTTTTTTTTAAATAATAAGTACTATGAAAAACCTGTGGATATCAATGATTGCGATTCGTCACATTTGTAGATGTGGTTTGTTATTGTCAGGGCGTTTAAATTGGAATGTCTTCCTATCTCTTTTCAAAACTAGAGTTTCTCTACTATCTACTAGAGTATCGGGACCAATACTATACAGGTGTTTACGAAAGTTTTTCCCTTAAAACATTTTTAATATGTCGTAAACCCATAAATTTTCCAACTTTGATTTTCACTCTTATAAATTTTGATTAGACGCATCGTTTTCGAGTGATTCGCAAAAAAAAATACAACCTCGTTTTTGGAATATTGTCATTAATTGTAGGCGCCCATGAAAACAAATCGTAAGTAAAGCAATTTGTCAAATTATTATGCAACGTAGCTTAAAATTTGGATTTCTCAAATTAATGGTCATCAGCAAAAGCATTTTTTCTAAAAACTTAGCATCTTTAAATCATACGCAACTTAAACCAGCTTCTTTCGAGAGAGAGAGAGAGAGAAAAGGGAAGCGAGCGACGTTGCCAGATCGTTGAGAAAATCGAAGGCACACCAATAACAACCCGGGATACCCTTAGTCTCCTTTTTGGTTATTCTGTGGTACTATGATTTGCCACAAAATAGAAAATGTTTTCTTTTAGTCCAAGTGTATTCCCGTTATTTACTTGAGGTTGAGATTTTTTTTACAATATCATCTCCCTGGTCCAAAAATTGTAATTGTTTGCCATTTTAAACAAATAATGTTGGGTAATAATTTGACAGTTGCTTTACTTACAATTTGTTTGCATAGGCGCCTACGATTAATGAAAACATCCCAAATTAAGATTATGAAATAAGCTTTGAGAATCAGTTGGAAAATTTAATGGCTATTTAAGCCATATTGAAAATATTTAAGAAAATGTTTAAAAGATTCTTAATTTTGAAGGCCCATATCTTAGCTAGACTAAAAAATTTTACACGAATCATCATCATTTTGACTGTAGTATTTGTGATTAAAATTATGATTATATTACAGAAACACCCTGTATATACGAAATCGTCAGGTTTGGATGATTCTAGCGCCTCGCCCGCAAGCGACCTCGGCTGTTTGAGAATAAATGTTTTCTTATAAGAGACTTTATACTTCTACCAAGGTACATAAGGAACTCATCAGTATTCAGGGTTCAATACTTGTATGTTTCCTGTTTAACTAAGGGCCGGTTGTGCAATATATACCTGATGGCTATCCGGCCTATAAACTTATCGGGAGGATAAAGATATTCGCTGTTGTACAAACTGGTAGGATTGCTATCGGCGAAATAAGGGTCGGTTGGTAGTAGTTTTTTCTCATATCTAGTGATTTGTGTATGATTTTGACAATAATATGTACGTATAGGATGTTATGGGTTAACCTATGTAGTAACCATACAAGATTTTTATATAAAAACCTTGGTAACCATAAATATTTGGCGGATAAGTAGTTATCCTGCCGATAATCTCACCGACAAAATTATCCGTACATTGTAATATAGTACGAAATACTACCGGCCCTTAGAGGATTAATAAAAATTGGGTATTTAGTAACGAGCTATATTTTATTTAATTTTGGCTGTGATTGTAATCTTCATTCTTGGACTTCTAGTACAGTACATTCTTTCTATTTGGTTAGGCTATAATTCCTAGAAGTATTTTCATTCCCAAAAAAAACGTACAACTTATTAAGAGACTATGCAAATCTTAATATGATATAGATTTATATCATCGCAAATCAATTTTTTGATACATAACTCCTTAATTTGAAATTCGATTTAAATTTTTTTATTATTATCAAAAAAAATAAACTTTATACTAATTTTTTTATATCTATCATATTATTGGAAATTTAGTAACATTTTTCATATTTTTAAATCAAATTGTGTCAAAGTGATTTAAAATATCTAAGTCGTTGACTTTGTTAAGTTTTATTTTTTGATATAACCCTCAATGTAGGTGAATGTAGGTGTCAAAATATAAAATAACACCCCGTACATCTCGTTTTTCCGCCCACGAAAACAAAACATTCATTTTATCGACCAGTATTGTATTTTTACAGTCTACGTTTAACAAAACGTGGGTTTACAAACATCAAATTTTTATCGCATAATGATACAAAATTAATTCCGATGAGTTTAAGTACTTTATGTGCCATCTTAATTAATTAAAACGAATTTTTTGAACTGAGTTATTATTTTTTTTAGGTGCTTTTACTCATCTTTTTGTATCATTTCTTTATATTATTTTTTTTTGGTATAAATACGTGTATATAGTATTTATAAAAATAAATAAGTTAAAAAATCGCAAGATGGGGTGAGTTAATATATTAAACTAGTTAGATTTTTTTTTTTAATTAAATTAATTTATATAAATATGTAAGTTAAACTTGTAAATACACTCTTTGATGTTATAGGTTGGTTAATCTCTTTATGTACAAAGATTACTTCAAGAACAAAAAAAAAATCGAAAATCTACGTACTTATATACGAAGTAGTTTTTTAAGATTATGTTTGTTTATATTTTTTTTTTTTTTTATTTGACACTGGTTATTTTTATGTATTCGCTTTTTGTAGAATTTTTTTTTTTCAATTTAAATTAATCAAAAACATGTTTTATAGATCGATATATTTATATTTATTTACTTGTTATTTATTTTTTATTCTGTTTTATAATCCCTTTTAATTTAAAAAAAATCGATTTTTTTAATCCTTACTTTTAATTTAATTCAATGCCAGTGTTTTTTTTTTATTTTATTTTATTTTATACGATTTTTATTATTTAAAACAAATCCTCCCACCTTCTTCATTTCTCTCGTATTATTCTCCGTCCAATATTTGTTTCCTTATTGTGATAATAAACATGTTTTTTAATGTACGACTTTTTTATAACTGAGCCGCACTACCTCTTGGTGACATTTTCGATGGAAAGGCCAATTAAGACTTATTTTGTTGTCTTGGATAAAAAAACACCAATTAATGCGATGTGGAAACGTTATAACATGTTCCACATTTCTAAATTGTTACGGTTAGATTGAGAATTTTTATTTGATTCGGGAAAGAAATTAAAACGAATTTGTTTTGGGGTTATTCAAAATTTATTTATTTATTACTTAAAAAAAATGAATTAAAAATAGGATTACGATTTAAATTATGATTTAGGATATGATTTAGGTTACGATTTATTTATTATGATTTTTTATAAACTTATTAAATTAAAGCTCGACCAGCTATTATTGACGTTGATTTTTTTATCAATTTTTTTAAAAATTAAATTAAAAACTATTTACGATTAAGATTTTATAAGAATTATTCTAGATTTTAATCTAAATTTTTTTCTATTTATAATTACAAATTTTGTGTCCATCAAAACATTTTTTCTTATCTATCGAGACACGCATTAAATTCAAACGTCAAAAATGATTGACTTTTTCTTTATCTACCAAATTAATCACTTAATCTAGATACTATTTCAAAAACTTAAAAGCTACCTTAACTTAATCGATTTTAAATTTTATATGGCACCGTATCAAAATTTATAATTTTTTTTATTAATTTTCTTAACTAATCAGTCTTCATTTTTACTAACTTAACCTTAATCCACACCTAACTTAACCTTAATCTACACCTAACTTAGCCTTAATCATACAAATTTTTATTAATCCTAATTTTTTCCATCTTTTTTATTTCTTATTTATTTTTCGTGGGTGGTTTTGCAAAGTGTGACTCAACCTTAACGATTCTTCTTGTTATCTTCGATCTAAGCTGTCTGTCAAGTTGTCCATGGTCGCCCACGCTTTGTCTACAACACACACACAAAGAAACACGATTATATAGAGACATAGATACAAAATAACAACAAAACAAGTCGTTAATGTCAATATAAATTAAATTATTTCAATTTTATCCAATTCTTTTTGTTAATACTTAATTATATTAATAATTATTAAAAATTAAAAAAGTCGTACAAAAAAAAAACAATTTTTTTCATAAATAAATTGTGGCTAAAACCGCGTTCGAGTTCTCTCTTTCTCTTTTAACATCCAAAGAGATAGAGAGAGACGCTCGGAGTGAAGAAGGGGGGACTACTCTCTCTACTCTTTGCGCACACCTGTTAACTTTTAACCCCCGGGATTCTAAAATTTCGCCCCGAACCGTTCAATTTTCGCACCCCCATTTCGTTTTTGCGTTTACTTCGGATACTCGCCCAAAAAAAATCGAATTTTAATCAATTTTCCCCCGAAAAATCGAAAAAACCTAACAGATGTGAGCGAAGTTTTCGAATCTGCGAGGAGAACATCTTTTCCCCGAACATCTGAGTTCAAATTTACCTTTTTCTATTGTTAAATTTAAGTTTTTCTTTGTTAATGATTAAGCGATGATTAATTTAGCGTTAAAAATTAATATTATCAAAAAAATTTTTGTAATTAATTTAATTTATTAATTTTAAGATTCCACCACTTATTTTTAGTTAATTTTTTAAGTTAATTTCTAATTTAAAAATTTGAGATGTTTCAAAAAAAATTTTATCATAATTTTTTTGAACCACCTCAAATAAAATAATTTATTAATTAAAAAAATGATTTAAAATAAACTCACCTGTTGGATTTGAGTGGGCGCCTTAATAAAAAGGTCTCCACGAAGAGAGTGAAGAAGGAAGGTGGCGTCTACATCGCAGCGAACAGAAGAAGACTGTCGCGCGTTATTCGCTGCTTGTCTGAACGGCGACGGCGAGCGGCAGCAGGAGCAGCAGCGACTCCTACCGAGGCCTAAGCGAGCTTTGCCCATAATGGGACAGTCCCCTTTTAAGTCAGACTTATTGTAGCGCGGCCGCTACCGGGCTTTAGGCCGCGGCCACCGCGGAGGGTTTCAAAAAAAAAGACAAGAAAAGATGAAAGAACAAAAAAAACAACGGCACCCGAACGCAAGAAGACGAAAAAAAAAGAAAAACCAAAAAACAAAATCGAAAACGGCGAAAAAAGACGAACGTCGACGCGTGCTATTGTTTCTCTGCACGCGGTCTGATGAGAGGAGGTTCCCGGCGATTTTTGGCCCACGCCGTGGAATGTTGCATTTTTTTGCTTTTGGTCTTTTACAAGAAGGGGCGCACGAGTATCACTTAAGTACGGGATGGATGGGTTTCAGTTAGTTGGAATCGAATAATAGTGTTTGAAGAATTTTTGATGAAGATATAAAAAGGATTAAATAGTCAAGTGATGTCAAATCTAGTAATCTCAATGATGAAGATTTACGGAAAACTTTATATACTACATCTATTAAGTCAGAAGAAACATAAAGAAGATATGACGCAGATTTCAAAAATTTATGTAGATCTAATTATTATGCACTTCTAGATGCAGTATTGATACAAACCCGATATAGATATGATGTGGTCTTAGTGCAATCTTGATAAAAATTTGATACAGAGATGATGTAAACTTTATATGGAGTTATTTCGATGAAACTTTACTGCATCTATCAGTTTAGGAATTAACTCGGTATAGATGTGATGAGAGGAGGTTCCCTGCGATATTTGGCCCACGTCGTGGAATGTTGCATTTTTTTCTCTTGCTTTTGATCTTTTACAAGAAGGGGCGTCAAGTATCACTTAAGTACGGGATGGATCCGTTTCAGTTAGTTGGAATCGAATAATAGTGTTTGAAGAATTCTAGTAATCTCAATGATGAAGACTTACAGAAAACTTTATATACTATATCTATTAAGTACATCTATTAAATACTACATCATAATTAAGAAAGATAAAGCAGATTTGACGCAGATTTAAAAAAAATTATGTAGAGCTAATAAAAACTGTATACACTTTATGCACTTCTAGATGCAGTACATACCTGATATAGATATGATGTGGTCTTATTGCAGTCTTGGTAGAGAGTTGATACAAAAACGATGTAAACTTTATATAGTTATCTGGATGCTGATATGATGCTATGATGATAAATATTGATGAAAGTTTACTGTATCTACCAGTTTAGAAGGTTTTAAAATGTTGAGTTCTTTTATTAAATTGCTTTATTGGATTTCTTGAACAAAAAAAAATGATGCTTATTATCTTATAATTCATGTAATTATTGAAACAAAAACGAAAATAATACATAATTGGCTATTTTAATTTGGACAAATAATGAAGGACACTAAGTTTTTTTTTATAAATTAACAATTAACTAATTAACAACGTTTTAAATGTAAATTGTCATTTAAACCTAATATTTAGTAGGATAACCCTTTAATTTAAGTACGTTTTTGCACCTTCGAGGAAGACTAGCTACTAAATGCTGACATCGTTCGATTGGAATATTCTGCCATATTTCTTTTACAGTTTGAACAATGCATGAACATTTTTGTAAGATATATTTTCTTTTCTAGAGCCCTTTCAACATCTGCCCAGAGATTTTCAATTGGATTTAAGTTGGGACTCTGGGCAGGCCAATCCAAAACATTAACGTTTTCGGCAGAAAACCATGCTTTAACACTTCAAGCAGTATGCTTTGGTTCGTTATCCTGCATAAAAATGAATGGGACAGGCTTATATTCGTCCGCAAATGGCTTCATTGTATTCGCCATGATGTCTTTGTATAAATGTTGGTCCATTCGTTGAGTATAGGACCCACACCAAACCACGAAAATGCAGCCTAAACCATAATATTTCCTCCACCATGCTTTACGGTCTTTAAAGTATAGCGAGGGTCTAATTCTTTGTTTGGGGGTCATCGTTCATATTTTTTACCATCTTATCCAAATAAGTTGAACTTTTTTTCATCGCTCCATTGAATTCGACGCTTTAAATTCTTATTCGATACATGTGGCTTTTTCCTTGCAGTGCATCCATGGAGTCCACTTTCCACTTTGCTTAGAACTCAAAAAAGTGTTTGTTCTGCAAATTAAGCGATCTTCTACTGGAGTAGTTTTCTTGGGCTTGGATTTCCGTTATGCGGAATGAAAGTGACTTGGCGTGATGATACGAGCCAGGAATATTTATGTATAAAATGTAAACTTTTGAAGTATATTTGAAAAATTTGAAGTGTATTAGCCGTCCAAGCTAAAATAATCATTTATTTATTTTATTTTTAAGTTATTATGATCGCATTATTTTCGTTTCTTTTTCAATTAATACATAAGTTATAGGATAATAGACATAATTCTTTTTTTAAGAAAATAGATCTAACATTTTATTAAAAAGAACGCAAAGTTTTAAACTGATAAATGCTGTTCTTAATTATATGACCACCACTGTAGATATGATACGGTCTTGATAGAGACTTGATACAAAGACGATGTATACTTTATACAGAGTTATCTCGATGCAAATATGATGACAAATATTGATAAAACTTTACTGCATCTATCAGTTTAAAACTCCTAGTGATGATTTAATGCAGATTTAATAAAAGGTTATATGCACTTGATGTGCTAGATGCAGTTCCAATAAGGACATGATGCAGTATTGATGGGGATTTAACTGTGAGATGATATTAACATGATGAGGACTTAAGTAATAGAAATTTGGACTCAATACAGATTTGACTTGATAGGCATAAGGTGAATACTTAATACAGAGATGATGTACTAAACTTGTGCTTGTCTCTGCATTTCAAAATCGCTCAAGACCGTGTTATGTTGACTTTGATCGATCTTAGTGACCAATGTGTGGCACGTAGCGCCATCTTGCTAAAACCATATATCGTCCACGTTCATATCGTTTAATTCGAGGCAAAAGAAATTGATTATAAAGTAATGAAAGAAGTATAGACCATGATACCATCGGCCCAAACTCTGCACCAAACAATACCTTTTTGTGGATACATTGCCACATGGTGAATCTCGCGTCGAATCATATACTGCAATTTTGCTTGTTAATATAACTATTTATCATAAGATGCTATCATTAACATTGAGCTTTTGGGTTAATTGGATTCTGTACAAGTGGAGGCCCAAGGTTGGATGCAAAATCCGCCAAGTTGAAGTCCAGTTTCCTGCACATTTTCACAGACAGTGGCTATTTGTTTACCTCTTTAAATTGGTCACCAAATGTTGGAAAGCTGACTTTGAAGCGCAACCACGTCTGTCATAAAATGGCTAAAACGCGAGCAGCGAAGAAATTATTGGAGATTTGATGCAGAATTCAAAGACTTGATGTAAATTGCATAAGGACATTTGTATGGGGAGTTTAAAGAATCTTTAAGGAGTCGTGATTTAAGTATAGATACAACTTTGACATGTTAGGAGATAGTGAATACTCGAGGCAGAGTCTATCATACATATTATATGGAGTTATCTCGATACAAAGTTGATGGAAACTTTATACATAATATATGAGAATGTGTTAAAGCAGGCTTGATCAAATCAGCAATTTGATTGCTGACTTCAAAGACTTATTGCAGACTTAATATGCAACCTTGAACGAGTTGGAAACGGCGTTTTCGAGAAATAAGCTTTAATCTTTCACCCCATATTCATTGAGCTCGTGGATGAGATTTACTTTATACACTTGATTGAAAATTTTTTTGCACTATCAAATACAGGTTTTTTCCAGATTTTAGATAATTTCGTGATATTTAGTTTGCTTATATGTCGCTTATATGTTGACTAATAGGCTTTATGAACTTCGAGTTTTGATGCAATGTTGAGCTACTACCAAACAAGATACTGAGAGACAATTTATTAATCCTGACACTATGGCAGATATCTGCTTTCCATAATATGGCTCATAATGCAACATGTTTCGAGATAAAACTATGATGAGTGAATGATTTCAAATCATGGATCAATACAATGGCTAACTCGACTTCTTTTATTTGGCACCCCACCACTAAAAACAAAATATTTAACTAAAACTTTAAAGTAAGACAAGCGATCTTAGTTATAATATTTCTTTTAGCTGTTTCTCAAGACGGCTAAATCCGAATGTTTCCAGTTCTCGGTCTGGTGTTAGTTCTAGTTTTATACTAGCACTATCATCTAGAACTAACACTAGACCGAGAACTAGAAACATTCGGATTTAGCCGCACGTCTCTCAAGACGGCTAAACCCGAATGATTCTAGTTCTAGGTCTTGTGTTAGTTCTAGTGATAGTTCTAGTTTTAGTTGTTATTCAGCGCTAGGTTGTTAAATCAATATAGTATATTTATAATATATCTATATATTATGAAATTCATTGTATACAACTTTAATATAAAATTTAATTTCTTCAACGGTATTCTTAGCAGCTGATGATAGTTATTTAGCCGAAACACGTATTGATTAACTCAATAAAACTCTTTAGGTAGAGATGTTTTTAAATGTTTTTCATGACACTTCTATAGAATACTTTGAAAATGAAATGAGTAAACATTGTTATGATTTCTAGCAATTATATTGATTCATTATCTAATAACAAATTCTGTTGTCGTCTTATGAGATCTTAAACGACTCGAAGCGTGTAAAAATAATAAACGATTTGATGACTCATAGAGATATGCAACGTTGTAACATAACACATTTGGATGTGGAAATGAATTAAAGAAGATTTAATTTGAGTGAAATTACAAACAATAACAAAAATGAAATTTAAAAAGCGGGTCAATTCCATTAATCAAGATCCATTTTCTTTGTAAGGAGCGACCTAACTGGCCCCCGTTTTCTTGTCGTTGAAACCGAAATAAAAAAGGAAAATAAAGGAAATAAAAAAGGGGTTCTCGAGCGTACAAAGACTACCGGCGGTTATTACAATAGCGCCGACAATAAATAACCACATCGAAGAAACGA